ATGGCAGGAAGTTGCCATAGTTGGCTACGTTGAATTTCCGAATGACGTAGAGCATTGCCTAGGATCATTTTTTTGGGAGATACTCGCCAACAGTTGGTTTCGATCACCTGCGCCTAGTCAACCGTAAAGCCTCTTATCATTGAGGTGTCGGGGGGTGGGGGGTAAAAATGGGGGGAAGGAAGGGAGAAGTTCCATGCTTAAAAAAAAATTATGAAGAACTAGCTGCTACCCGTGAACCATTCACGTCTTCTTAATTGACGTTAATCGACTTCTATCCCATAACACTTAAATGAAACACAGCTGACAATTTGAACTGCCCAATTTTGGATAAATAATATTTGGTGTGTCCCAAGCGCATTCATCCCCCTCCTTTCCCATAAATCCCCGAATTTCCCTATACACCAAATTTCAGCAGGTTCGGTTCTATGATATTCAAATGAGACACACTGTACGAATTAGGAACTCTCGTGTATCAGATGAAGGAGGGGAGATGCTTCCCATCTTCAGAGACTCCCAATTTTCCTTTATAGCAATTATAAATAAGTTCCTTCTCAGAGGATTCTAAAGAGATAACGTTCGAATTTCAAACTGTCACGCTTTGGATCAATAATTGGAGATGCGTTGTGTAATCAGAGAACCCTCAATTGCATGTATGTAAATTTTCAGCGAGTTCCACCAGTAGCATTCGAGATACGTCGTTCAAATTTCGAACGCCAAGGCATCGGATGGGGTATGATTTAGAGCAGGGGTGGGCAAACTACGGTCCTCGGGCCGGATGCGGCCCGTGACAGTATTTCGAACGGCCCGCCAGCTGCTGGAGGAAAACTCATTTTAAAAAAACTGCGGGCAGCTGCATGCCCCATTGAGATGTTGGCATGTCTCGATACTCAATACCTATTTCTGGCTTCTGTGGCCTACGAAGGCTTATATGTTTTCTTGTGAGGCCCGTTGGATAAAATGTTTGCCCGCCCCTGATTTAGAGTCGTGCACGGGATGAGGATCATCAGTTCAATTGGACCGACCCGACCCGCGGATCAAGCCGGCAGCTCGGTTAGCATTCAAGTTTCCTGCTGGGTGCAGGCGAATACGCCATCAGAGGGGTCTTTTTCTCCAGCCGCTTACAAGGCAAAAAGGACTCCTCATCCAGCCAGCACTCGACGTGATCACGTTATTAAATGTCACTCTGGGGCAAGCAGCTGGCATCAAAACGTCGCGAACTATGAGAGCACTGAACAGCGTTGGGAGCGTCAGCTGGAAGCGTCAGCTGAGGCAGCAGAGCCTCTTAAGAAAAAGACGTACCCAGAGACCCCGAGTTCCGAAGCTTAAAGGCCTGAGCAGGCTGCGGGCCGGCTCGATCGGCCCTACACAACCCGCAGGTGGGGTCCGCAAAGCTCGGTCTGGCGATTGAGTTCCGGGTCGAATTCCTACCACGATTCGAATCGGGCAGGACCTCGACTCGAATCGGACCGATCGGGTCGGATTCGGAAAAGTCGACCCGTGCAGGCCTCCGGCGGACAGACGGAGGACATCGGCTATTATTATTGTTACGGAGGGTAAAGTGGAGGCGGACGACGGAAGGCATGAGAGGTCGAAAGAAGCCAAGGAACGGCCGTTGAAATTGAGGTGTGCTACCACTACACCACCGAACCCAGGACATTCAGTCGACCCTCTCGCTGCCATCCTCATCCGTCACATTATATAGATGGTAGGAGAACGGAAATAGGTTGTCATGCAGTAAAAATTGGGCGAGAATTAGTTTTCCTGAAGGAACGCTAATTAACTGACAAGGGGCCTCGCCTATGCTAAACTTTAAATATAATCTTAGGCTAAATCTAAACGTAATCTGAAATTAAATCTAACATTAACCTAAAATTGACCTGAAAGCTTCGTAAAAGCAGCCAAAGGGAGTCTTGTTTTTCATCTCAGTTCCGAATAACCGCTTTTGGGTTATATTAAGTTTAGCAGGAGCGAGGAACAGGACCCAGAACACCCCTCCCCCCCTCACTACTCGGAATATAGTTCCTACCACAGCCGTAGTGTCAAAACGCTCCTGCCGCTATGATATTTGGAAAAGTTGCATGTTCTGTAATTTAATGTAAAAATCACTCACAAACATTAAACGGCAAAAAAATCCAAGTCACGGGAATAGGTCCATTCCATCTCACATTTGTGTTGCCAAGAGTGGGAAGGACGAGGGAATTGCTCACGATTCATTCATTCGGCAAGGGTCATGCTCCTCCCTGTTCAGATTTCATCCTCCTCTCTCTTCCGACGTCGTCCACCCCCCTCTGCATGAGTCCTCTTCCCTCTCCTAACATTTGCAGCACTTGGGCAGGAAGGAGATACACCTCATCAGACGGGATTCGAGAACATCCTGGCCAAAATTCACGACTCGAACTCAGCCAGAGAAAGAAAGATGTGAAATCTTTCCCAAGACTGGGTACTTAGCAACCATTCCACGGCATCTTTCTCGAAGTCCATTGTTGGGTTCGGGTCTCTCTTATAGGTATTATGAGGAACTTGTGTTGGTTGAACATTTTTTCTCGCTTTCCCCTTTTCCTTAGTCGACCTGGAGGGATATTGCCCTGCGCACTTCGAAAGTAAGGTCCAGGTTCTTGGGATCGCATTCAGGGACATTTCTCAAGAATTTATTGTCGGTTCAGGAGTTGTACATTACAGCCGTCCGGGACTGGGGACTCCAGATACGCTTTTCTCGTGTCTCTGAGTTAATATTCTTCTTTACCGCAGTCTGGCAGCAGGCCGACTCTTTCGTCTCCGTGCCGTCTCCATCCTCTGGGAGGGCTTCAATCATTATAAAAATATTCGCAATTAGTTCTTGATGATTACTCACGTTCCGATTTTTTAAATGGTACAGATCGATGACTAATAGGTTCTGCCAAAAATGTGTAATATAGCAACTGCATAGGTGGGATTCGAAAGAACAGGCTCATACCTCACCACCCCAATAAATATCCAATCCATGCCGATCTACAATCCTTTGGATCTGACAGTTTTAGTCGGCAAGGGAACCGTTTGACCAAACTGGTTCCCAGCCGGCCTCGTGGTATCCGCTGGCTATTGCTAGCGGATTCTGCGAGACTAAAATCATCAAAGAAAGTCAGCAGGTTGTTCTGGAACACTTGACTGTCACGACCATCGGTGGGAGCTCTCAGATGATGCCAAGATGTTTGTTCGAGATGGGACTGTCAATCATTATTTGCAACTTTAAAAATTTTTTAACCCTCGTAATTCAATTACTTCTGTTGATTTGCGTCGTTGGAGGTTCGGTCCAGAGCTTTCGACTTGGCTTCGATCACTCCGCAGGATCCTAGCTGTTCCAGGATTTGCTCTCTTTACACTGGGTGAAATGTGGATCCATTTACAAAATACGCACAAAAAAATTAAATTTGTTGAGCCTCTGAAATCTCACGAATTCGCTCTGCAGCGAATGAGTTAAAACTCAAGCCGAGAGAGTGAGTCCTTTCTTAGAAATGACTCAACCCTATATGCCCTTACGAAAAGATCCTATAGGATCCGATGAAATTTTTGAAACATAAAAATATTATAGGATTCTTATAGGAATCCTATAAGAATCCTATAGGAATTCTCTGAGATTTTTGTTTAAAAAGGATCCTATAGGATCTTTCCTTAAGGGTGCTCTATAGCTCAGCCTCATCGATTGGGCATCTTCGAACTGGCAAAGTCGAGAGGACTTCCGGCATTTCGTTCGTCTATCCATCGATGATTTGATGATAAAAAGGAGGGGATTCCCGTCTTTGCGAAGAGCTTCTTTCAGCCTGCACTAGAAGTCTCTTACAAGGGAACTTGTGGAACGAACGGTATGAAAAGATGGAGGAGGCTCCATCTTTTCATACCGTTCGTCGGGAAGAAGACGGGAGGCGGTCGTTCCGGCACCATATTCTTAAGTCTCTCTCAATCAACTGGAGCAATTTAAAGGCAAAGAAATTCTCAAGAGAATAATGTTAAGGCAAAGACTGGAAGAAATTCCACTCCACAGACGAGTTGCAAGCGCGTAAGAATAATTAAGTTTTTCTGTCAGAGAATGCATTTCTGTTTCGGAGAAAGGGAATAGTTAGAGGTGACCAAGTCCCTCTTGCTCTCGTTCATAGGGACCATCGAGACCAGAAGCGCATTAGAGGCCACCCCCCTGGCATACCTTCCAAGTGCCTAACGCTCCTTAGAAGGATTTTTTACCCCTGGGAATCTTTGTTCCGCGTATCCCCCCCCCCCCCTCCTCTCTCTCCTTCATCGACCTTTGCAGCCCCCTGATGAAAGGCAACCTTTGAATTATCCTGGCTTGCCAACTAGATGATAAACTTATTGAAAACTTGTCGCCCGCAGTGGTAAACCCTGAAATGTCGATCCGCTTGGACTTGATAGCAGAATGGGCTTACATGACAATTGGGCTCCTGACAGAGACAATCCGTGTGTTTCACTTCTATGGTCTGGAAGATGATGTCGGCTGCTTTTACACAGCCATGAACATCTCGGTCTTCTTTCTCCTCATTCCCCGGATTACGAGCGTAGGGATCCACCTGATCGTGTTCTACGTCGCATTTCAACTCCTTGCCATTGGCCTCTTTTTCCAGAATTGGTATCTCGTGTGTGCTTCGTGCTTAATGATCAGAATGAACATTTCCCGCCCGAATGAAACGGAAGAGAACCGCTATCTCTATCGGAATAAGATGACCGCACAAATCGCTGCCATCCAGTTCTGCCTGTTGAAAGCAACATGTGATACGGATGTGGGTTTTATAGAATTGTTCTCATATTGGAAAACAAAATGCCAGGAATTTAAGTCATCAACCACGACCCACGGACCTTATGGTTATTTCGGAGTCCGACATTTCTGGGAAGAAGCGAAGAGAGTCAGCGAAAGTGGATGGAAACAGGGAAAAAATGGAATGTGCAACATTCTTGTCTTCTTCGAGGATGTCATCTGCTGCGCGATGGAGAACCTCGGATCATTCTATTTATAGTCATGATTCTCTGCTTTCAAGTTTTGCCTTGATCTTAGCAATGAAGGCTTCCTGAAGCTGCTTGCGGTAGACTTTTCCAGCAGGGGTCATGGGTATTGCGGACAAGAATTCCAGCCCACCCAAGAGAACACATTCTGGAGATACGCATCCTACAGGGTAAAAGAAGTAATTCTTCAAGTTACGAGGCTTCTAATCGATTTTCAGTCTATTCGTCTTCGGATGACAATGATCTCGCGTACCTGCAACAAAATCGATGAGTTCTTGTTCCTGGACATTCGATTCGTCCCTCTTGATGACAGAAGCCCTGGGGACGAATCCGTTGATTCCTACGGCCGGAACACCATAAACTGCAGCAGACATTACATCTGGATGCAGGTACAATACACCCTCGATCTCACTCGGCGCCACCTATCGTATCCCGAACATTTCCACCCTTCATGTATGTGCAAATTTAAATGTGAACTCTAAAAAGTATCAATATCATTGCTCAGTTATTCCTTACGATTATTTCCAGGCCTTGTTCCTCTCGGATGATAAGGTCTTTGATCCGATCTCTGACGAAACAGAAACCATCTTGGTCCATGTAGCCGTAGTCTCCCGTATACAGGTATCCATCCTCGTGCAAGGTCTCTCGCGTTTCCTGTATAATAAATCGAATTTTATTGTTCTATCAGAAGCAGGTCTAGGGCTCATTTTCAGTCATCAATCGGCAACACTCTCCACTTTTTCACTGTAGTGAAAAAGTGCCAAAAAAGTTCACGTCACTGTAGTAAAACGATTTGCAACGACGAATTACCGAGGCTATCGCTGCGATACCTGTGGATATGTCGTCTCGGGTATGGGCTGAGGTGGAACATCGTTTTGACGTCTGCCGAGCTGTCAACGGTGCACACATTGAAGTGCACTGATTAATACTAAAACTTGAAGCTACAACGTGTTGATCTGTAAAAGCAAAAATGTTTGTGTTTACTCATTGAATAAATGTTTATTTTCGAAACTCCAGAGTTCTTTTTCGGACACTGTATTTTAAAATACTTTCCTAAAGTGAAAGAAAATGCGGAATTACGGGAACCTTTGTACACCTTTCTCCTCTCGGATCTGTCACTGCAGGGTGTTGATATTCGCATAGAAAATTATGGAAGTGTGAAGACTTGCCTTTGGAAGTCCTCGGTATCTCTTGAACGAGCAGGGGGACTTGAAGCAAAGCTCCCCGTGTTTCTCTGGTCCCAGAGGCTCTCCCGACTTTAAATCCTCTACCTGCAGAATCCAATAAACACTGGGAAATGTGGGCAGAAAATCGTTTGGTCTCTTTTGAGCGCTGTTGAGCATACCTTTGCCACGACCAAAGGGTAAGGTATTCCAATGGACCCGGGTTTGTAGCATCCGTTCCCACGGAACGTCAGCCACGTCCCTTCGGTGCTCCCGTAACACTACAAGAAGTGACGTCTGTCTGAGAATCCCATCTCTGGGTCATCAACATAAGCGTGTCAGAAAAACCCCTTGGAATAATACTTTACCTGGCAGAAGTCGCTGACATTCGGGAGGCGAGCCCGCAAGACCTTTTCCATGTTATAGGACAAAGGTGCTCCACTGACAATGAGCGTTCTGAGGCTGTGTAGGTCATATTTCTTCGAATCGGCTTTTTTGCAGATGTGAATTACTGTACTGGGGAAAATTACCAAGTGGGTCGCCTGATATACGAAGAGCGACGACCCGTAAGTGTTAGACAATTCATTTTACGTTCCCTCTTAAGAACATAGTACCTTGTACTTCTCGACGGCTGGGAAGAGGATATCATGATGGTATCTTGAAAACATGATGTACTTTTGACCCCGTTTGAGGGAAAAGAACAGGAACAACAGACTGGCTATGTGACTGAAATTCAAGGATGCTGCCATAATCCACGAACTCTCGTTCTTCTCTTCGCTGTCCCAGGAGACGACCAATAGGAGGTAGAGGCAACGAGTGCTCTGTAACATCGTGATAGAAAGTAGAAATTCCCTCACATAATGGAATCATTGTAGACGAGAAGCGACAGGCTTCGCTGCGTATGTTCGACGGGTTTTGGTTCCCCTGTCGTCCCGCTGGAAAAATATATCATGGCCACATCCTCGTCCGAATTCTTATCCACTTCCGGGAAAGGGATATCGCCTGTGAAAAATTCACCCTAGATTCACCAGCAAGCAAGTCGATCTTTCCTATTCGATGGGTCTATGACTTAGATCAGGGATGCTCAGCCACCTTCGAGTTTTCTGAGCATAATGGGCATTCCTCAAATAAAAAATAATTCGAAATCTAACCTCCCCAACAAATTGAAACACTATTTTACGACAGGAAATTATGGCACGATTATTTTTCGCTTAGTTCAAGGTTTTTAAGTTGGTCAATTTTATTTGAAAAAAGCAACAGCAAAAAGCTGCCTCTGATGCCACATGCATTTGAGTCAGTTCCTTATGATTACGGACATTCTAGATGCATTCAGGTATAGGGTGATATGCACCGGATCCGTTTAAACTAAACTCATCTGATCTCACAATGGTCCCCTATGGGAATCAGTTTAAAGTTAAACGGATCTCGTGCATGTCATCCAAAGTCTCTGGTCTTGGCTTTCCTCTCTCCCATCTGCAGCTTCACTTCTCCGCATCCTTCTCGTCCTTTTCACCTCCCTTTGCTTTTCCTTTTATCTTCAACTTCCAATGCACCCTAATTGCACCGATTCCTAGCGAGTTTCCGTTAAATGATACGAGCCCAGAGGGGCGACTCAACTGATGCCTTAATCCAGGGTATTGTTTTCATGAGACCACTCGTTATTACTCAGATCAATCCTCAATGGGATCCCAAGTTGAACGGGTTGGTTCTGATCAAATACAGTACAACTGAGACACTGAACATCAGGGATGTAAACTGATTACCTGCTGGCCGGATCCGGCCCAGTCCATTTTGTCCGACTTGCGAAGTCCTTTTCAACTGTTGATTTCAGAAAAGTTATGAACAAATCAGCCTGTTAAAGATTTGCTACTGTGGTACCCTAACAAAACGTTCACCCCCTATCCACCTGCTCAAACAACCAGGTGGACGGCCCCCCCGATGGAAATCCACCAATCCATTCGCGTCCATGTATTTCGAGCCAGGTGAATTTTCCCTCCTGGTGAATTTTCCCCCGAGTGGACATCGTTCCAACTGGTGGAAATAACGCCTCGGGGGATATCCAACTGGTTCCAAATCCACAGGGGGGTGGACGTTTTGTAAGGGTACCACCCCTGAACTGCCTCATCTCCCCCCCCCCCCCCCCAGCCAAATTGAGTTTGACATCCCTGCTGTATATTAAGCTTATTTTTAGTGAAAACAAGACTTTGATTCCTTCCTTTAGAAAAAAAAGTGCGTACGTCTTACTTGCTTCAGTGAGAAGAGTTCGGAGGGACTTGAATCCATCTTCTTCTTCAAACGTAACCACGACAGGCTGTCGGTCAATCGAGGCACATGCTTCTGCAACTTTTCCAGCGACTCCGTTTGAGATTATGCAGAGCTTGATCCGTTCTCTTTTCAAAATATTTGGAATGAGGTCTACGAGATAGTGGAAGAGAAGTATAAGTAGGTATGTACATATCAGGCTCATTACTCCTTTGTATTAAAAAAAATATATCCCAGTATTGTGCAAGATTTCGGTACCCACTTATAAAAGCTGGGGGAAGTGACATGGGAATGACACCGATCGCCAAAGCTCCGAATATCGGAATGAAAGAGTCGATGTGATTTTCGGCGCAAATGCATATAACATCACCCTTCCGCAAGCCCAGAGACAGAAAGGCATTGGAACAGCGATTCCACGTCGGTAGCAGTTGGCTGAACTTGTAAGATTCATTCGTTCTTGCATCGATCTGCAGAGCACACGCGGAGTGGTGAGTTTCTTACGCGAAGGAGTGGTGCTACGAACCCTGCATTTCCGCGGGTAAGGGAAAAAAAGAGACTCACGATCCAGTCTCTGTCGCCCAGGTTGTCCAGATGAGATTTCACCTTCTGCTTCACCCACGACCACATTGGAAGTGCTTGAGGGATTGCTTGTCGCATGTCCCAGCGCGGACTTTGATACTCCATCGTCAGGTACTGCGTTGAGAGTGTGGATGCACGAAAACTAGGAAGTAAACAGACCCTCTTACAGGGCAACAACCTCTTGAAATGCAACTCAGCGTTGCATGTTTACCAATTAAGCCTCGGGCCAGGCGACTTGTTCTTAAACTCGTAGCTACGTTCCTAATAAGTAATGCGCTTTTAATGAATAAGGCGTCGCATCCACTTTGCGTCAAAAATATTAACTCACAAGTTAGAAATTAGTTACACATGTTAGGACCATATAAATGACTTAAATCTAGGTATATGAAGAGATCTTCCCGTTTCCGGAACGGTGTCAGGCTGGTCGCAAGAGTCTCATTTTCTGGGGTTCAAATGTCTAAATACTGGCCGTTGGTGCTCGTAATAGGGTAAGCACCCCGTTTCTGGTCGTTCTCCAGTTATCGGTCAGTGAGGCTTAAAACCAGCATAATTAGTTAATCTGGCCGTTTTCAAGCATTCTTCCAACATCTTCCCGTACGAAGACCTATTACTAGTGTTTCCCGATGTGCGCACAGGGTGTCCACTTCCTATGGGAGTCGTACCAGCGTGGCCAAAAACTGGGGTGTTTACCCTATACCCTTCCAAAGAGAAAACATAGGTGGAGATAAAGAAGGGAGAGACTTTCACCCAAGCAAATCCCGAACCCTGTCACGCAAGTTCCCTATGAACGTGTCTCACTCCCCTTCTTGCTGTGGCGCGAATTGAATCTAGGAGGGCATCTACCAGTATCGCTCAATCTCAAATGGGGCTCAGGATTGCAATGTTCTCTTTCCCAGCCGGGGATACCCGACCGCTCAGATTTTTTTGGAATGATGTGTTCTCATTCTTCTTCTGCAGTCGATGGTCACCTATATTTTACGGAAAACTGACATGAACATTTGTAGCGTTTGAAAGTATTAATACTAGTGTCGGTGCCACATGAATGTCAGGTCGAACCCAGGAAAGCATGCTACAACCCCCAGGGGACAGAGCTGCTTCCAGGTTTGGAGATGTTTCACTCCTGGAGTTAAGAGTCCACGGACAGTCTAAAACACCTTCGAATGACCAAACTTGTAATTTTTTTCTTTATTGCAATCCTGTTTCACGAGTCACGACCTTCACAAGTGAAACATTTCTCTTAACTTGCGGCGACGAATCTTTCCGGCTTCTGTCTTGGGAATCGCGTCCACAAAGTGCATCCCTCCAAGTCTGATTGATCCTTCCAATCGTTCTGTATAACGTAGAAGGAGTTCATTTCAATAAATGGAATGGTTCACAAAATTTTGATGTACATATTCGTGAGGCGTAATGACGCATTTTTTAACATGCACCTCCGCCACCAACTATTGGACCACGAAAAAGCCAATAAAAGGAGACCTTTATTGACTTTATTTATTTTAATTTATTTGATTATTGAAATAGTTTTTTTTTATTGTATTCAATAATTACCAGAGTTGGAAATCTCCTCCTACTGCTGTTTCCCATTGATAGTAAACCCATTTCCCAACTCTTTCCAAGAAGCATACTCGATCCGTATGCCATTTCATGCCGAATTTTTTTCTTCTAATAGTTGGCTAATTTCCGGCGGTCTCTGGGCAAGATGATTACTGCATAGGGTAGGAGAGGATTGATAATTTTTTTGTTTTCTTCGATTTCCCGATGATTTTTTTTCTCCCGTTCTATGTGCACATAGTCCTATTTCAGCATGAAATGTTCCCACATAACGACTATGTGTACATTTTGTTTAGAAATTATGGTCGAAATCGAAGATGCTCAATAGTGGCGCACGGGGAACGACGCATGAACTATATCTTTTGTGGCTGTCCTCTCCATCCTGTTACTCTCACCTCACAGGTTCTGCATGGCCGCGATGGAACTCTACCAGGAATAATGTGACCACATATCGAAGAACAAATCATTACGTAAAAACAGGATTTTGTACGAGAGCAGGTTTCCAAAGGACTTCCGTTACTTCCATCCATACGAACATTCGTACTTTATGCGGCACACCTCTTGGCTGAGGAACACGTTTAGGGGTCTTTACTGAGTAAAATTCGACACTTGATAAGGCACCCTGTCAAGCAGATCTGTCAGTGATTATTTGCTGTTGTACGAGGGGGAGTAGAAAAGTTCGTGACTTTATTTTTTACATGTAGAATGCTTGCTCCTAAAATCTCCATGTTCCCACTCCCAAAGGGGGGCAACCCTGTCTGACATAGCTCTAGGATATCAAGTTAATAGCTTCCAACTGAGCAAAGTTAGACAACATATCTGAGGAATGTGTAGACGAACAGCGTAAAGTGATAAAATACAATGTTAGTGAGGTCTAGAAGGCCTCATCTATCGTCGACGGCTGCAAAATGTCCATAAGGATCAGTGTTGAAAGAGGAGTGTGTGGTCAAATGGGAAGAAGGATTTAAGAGTAGACGCACATCGGTTGAAGATGACCACGCTCAGGCGTGGCCAATGACAGCAACCTCAAGAATGGTATGGGGAGGCCTTCAATTGCTAGATTCATCAGTGGGGGAAATGCGTGAATGTGAGGGAAGAGAACTTGGGCTACGTCAAAAAGTAGCCCAAGTTTGGAAGGTCAGTATCTAATTTTGTTTTTATAATAAAAAAAAGAAGTATACGAACTTTTCTATCCCCCTTGTATATGCTTATAACTTTATAGGCCTAGTTTATTCAATTCGCAGATAATAATGAAGCAAACCACGAAGGAAGGAGATCAGTTGATCCTTTGTCAAGTCTGATTCCTTCTTCTTCACCACGGAGACAACTAGAGAATCTCCAGATTCGAGTCCCTGGTCTCCAGATGAAGGGACACCAAAAACGGCAACATCCATTACGTCAACATGTGAGAGCAGAACGTCTTCGACTTTGGTTGGTGGTATCTGCATGAGGTCAGTTTCCATTCGATTTCACATAAATTCCAACTGGAAAAGCTGGGCAAAGGGGAAAATGAGAAATTACCAGGGAGATTTGTCCGCTGTCACTAATTTTGATGAGATCCGTCACACGAGCCAACAGAAAGACGTATCCGTCTTTGTCAATGTATCCGTAATCGCCAGTATGAATGAATCCTTGCTCATCTATTGTTCTCCAAGTTTCCTGTTAAGCGATTCACCAATTTTATCTGGATTGCATGATGAGAGGGCAATGATTGAACCACTAACGCAATCTTACATCCTCATCGTGTCTGTAAGCTTTCATTTGAGATGGGGACTTGAAGCAGAGTTCGCCGGGTTCATCTGGAACCAAAATTCGCCCATCTTCAACAGCCAGTACCTACCAACACAGTGCAATTTTCTATCATTCATTCAGTAATTTCCGGGGAAACATCCCGAGCATTAAAAAATGCCTCAGGAGTATGAATTCCCATGAACGCCAAATAATGTCATGCCATCCAAAGTGAATGTTTCTGTAGATGCACGGCTGTCACCAAATGTAGGGGAAGGTGGGTCAAAACGGGGCGAGGGGCAAAATGGGGCAACTCAGATTTTAATCAAACTATTGATATATCCGATATCTATCGGCTATTTACCCTAATATAACCCCCTACCTCGGGTGCAAGTTTTTAGGCACGGCGGCGCTCTATGAAGTAGTTTGTAAACACCCTAGGAGCAAAATAAAACCTAGACTTTACTTATTTTGTTTCGAGTTTTTGATAAGCGAAACAAAGTAATATGGGAACATTGGAGACGTCCGATATTTTTTTTGGCTGAAGGTGAAAATGTGTCTGCCATGATATGACATGATACATGAGTCGGCCGCTATCACCCTCGACACGGCTTTTATTAGAATAACGTCCCGCTAACCAGCTCGTTTTTTTTTTTTTTTTTTTACCTCTGAACTCTTACAGAATAAACTCCCTTAGGGTCATCAAATGGGACTCGGCAGCATTAAGTCGTCCGAAATCGTAGCTGGCTTTGACGGAAAAGCATTTCCGTATAATATTTTCTTCTTCCGACATGAAGTCATAGTTTTTTGCATAGCTCACTCACGTTTTGTTTGGCAGTGTCTTAATTATGGACGGTGCTGATGGGGCAAAATGGGGCTCTATATATCTATCCAGGCTGACGCTATGTGTTACTGTTGAGATTCGTTCTCTCGATCAAAACCCAGTGAAGGTTGGGTTACCAGAATTTGGCTCATGGCAGCTGTGCAGGCATCGATGACGACACGAATGAGGACGTGTTTTTCTGTGACTTCTGTAAATTTGCATATATGAGGAATAAATGGATAACAATTTGAAACAGCAACAATTCTTTTGGCTTATAAGTTTCATTGTTCTTTCCGTTGTGGCCTTAGTAATGGCATATAATGAAAATATGGGAAAACATGAGAAAAAAAAAACACGGTTTATTTGTAAATGTTTCATTGCTGCTTCTGTTCTTTGACCTTTGTAAGCAAGAGTGAAGACCTAGGGAAACGAGAGAGAGCATCTGTTTGTAAGTTGTGGATGTTTCGTTGCGGTCTCTGTTCTGTGAACTTTGTAAATAGGCATAAAATGAAGACACGAGAAAACGGAAAAATCTTAGTTTGCTATTCGTAGATATTTCATTGATGTTTCTGATCTGTGATCTATTTAAATAGGTATATATTATGGATAAAAACTTTGTAAAACAATATCTGGAGGAGTACCCCATTACCCCAGTACCACAGGGACGTTTGTCCCACAGGGTATTTTACAACAATTTTTAGAGTTGTCGGGGGGAAAAGACCGTCGCTGATTTCACGATGAAGTTGAATCTTAGTCGTAGGTAAGATATGAAAGGTACCGCATACCGATCTGCAACGTGCCACGCCAATTCCTTGGCACTAAATTTTGGCAATTTTCGTGAATCACCCCATTTTGCCCACCTTCCCCTACTTGGAAGAAGAAAATATAATACGGAAATGTTTTTCCATCAAAGCCGGCTACGATTTCGGACGCCTTGATGCTGCTGAGTCCCATTTGATGACCCTAAGGGAGTGTATTCCGTAAGAGCCAGGTCCAGAAGTCCAAAAAAACAAAAACGAGCTGGTTAGTGGGGCGCAATTCTAATAAAAGCCGTGTCGAGGGTGATAGCGGCCGACTCATGTATCATGTCATATCATGGCGGACGTCAACGTCAATGAACCACGTCTCAAACCACTAGACTGCGTTTGCATCATCGTATGCATCCCAAAAGCTACTGCTCTGCGCGTCGTGTGCACGGTTTCTACGCCATACCCAGTAGACCTCGTGACTTTTTGACCACTCCATGTATAGATTTTTGCAATAAATAATTTAACTTCATATTTTATACTTAAATTAAAATTCTTACATTTAGACTTAATTTGAACTAGGACAGTACGAGCCTCATTTTAAATATCAAATAACACTGTATGATTAAGAAATGTCAGTAGATTCTGCAATGGGCGATTTGTGCATTCGTAGGGTTCGACAGAAATAACTGCGCTGGAAAGAAAAAGGAAAGCATGAGCATGGCTTTAACAATAAAAAATAAAGAATTGCATCGTTTAGAATCAATCTGAAAGCCTATATTTAGTGCTTGGTCAAGCGTTCGTAGCTTGAGGACGTGTTGGAGGATACTCTCGAGGTTCTGTCAGCTAAGTCGTGAGTTAGTTGTTAGCTGACTACTTTGTAGCAGTATTCATAAGTTTTCTGATAGCTACCTCCAATTCCACATTAGATCAGTATCAATCAGCTTAATTACTTTAATTATTAACGCATTACTCGTAGTATTCCTTTTACTACAAGGACTAGGACAGTACAGTCTTACCGGGTTACAACTAGTGTGAAGTACTGCAAAGTATAAGTCTAAAGCAGTAGGAGTGTCAATAGGGATCAATAACATTAAGTAAGTAAGATGCCTAGGATGTGTAGATGCGTTCGGTGCGGGGATTGGGTAGGTGGGACTAGTGAACGAGAGGTATGCCAGGTATGCAGAGTTTGTAGCTTGGAGGAGCGACTAGGGGAGCTATCGGGAAGGCTCATTAGCGTGGAGGAGGAGATAAGAGGGATCAGGAAGGAGGTGGGCGAGGTACAGAGGGATGATTTAGTGGCGAGGCTAGTTAGGGTGGAGGAGGCACTCCGGGGGTTCCCCAGCCTTCCG